CCTGACTTTTCATGGTACTTTCAATAACCTCAGATGCATGTGAAAGTTGGACAATGAATAAGGAAGACTGTAGTAGAATTTATGCATTTGAGTTATGGTGTTGGAGAAGAACATTAAAGGTACCATAGACTGCCAGAAGAACAAATAAATCTGTGTTGGAAGAAGTACTACCAGAATGCTCCAAGATGGCCAGACTTCATCTCTCATATTTAGAACATATTATCAGAAGGGACCAGTCCCTGGGGAACCACATCATGCTTGGTAAAATGGAGGGTCAGTGAAAAAGAGGAAGGCCCCCCAATGGTCTCAACTATTGCAGCAATTGTGAGGATTGCAAAAGACCTGGGGCTATTTCATTCTGTTGTCCATATGAGTTGAAACTGACTCGATGGCACTCAACAACAACATCTTTAAATTATTTATAGTAGGGAAATTTCCAATTTTACAGTAAGTTATATCTCCAGTGTTCATTTGGGATAGATTTTTTGAAACTATAACTTAATTTTTCTTTAGAAATAATATTATAAGGATGCTAGGTTTTCCTAAGTACGAAACATCTGCATAATCCCTATTTTTGTAGAGGTAATCCATGTTCATAATAAATGATGACAAAACAAAACAAAAGCAAAAAGATGTTTCAACAAACAGATGGAATGCTTACTCATCTGTGCCAAGAAATTTGCAAAACAGCAGCGTGGTCAATCGACTGGAAGAAACACATATTTGTTCCCATTACAAATTAAGGTGATTTAACAGGAGACAGAAATTAACTTATTATCACTTTTAAGTAACATATTGCGGAAGATAATTCAAAAACAGTTGCAACAGTTTAACAACAGAGAACTGCCAGAAATTCAAGCCAGATTCAGGCAAGGATATAAAATGAGGGATATTATTGCTGATGTCAAATGGATCTTGGCTGAAGGCAGAGAAGAACAGAAGATGTTAACCTGTGATTTATTGACTATGCAAAGACATTCCACTGTGGGGACTGTAACAAACTATGTATAACATTGCAAAGAACAGGCATTCCAAAATACTTTATTGTATTCATAGGAGTCCTGGTGTGACACTGTAGGATAAGCACTGGACTACTAACTGCAATATTGGTGGTTGAAACTCACCAGCCACTCTACAGGAGAAAGATGAAGATTTCTGCTCCCGTAAAGATTTACAGTCTCGAAAACACTATACAGGGTCACTATGAGTCAGCATCAACCTGATGGCAGTGAGCTTGGTTTTGGTTTTAATTGTAGTAAAACCTATACATAAACTAAGAGGCAGTCATTCTAACAAGGAGATACTGTGTGACTTAAAATCAGAAGAGGTATGCACTAGAGTTGTATCCTTTCATCTTTATTCAATCTGTATGCTGAACAAATAATTCAAGAAACTGGATTATATGAAGAAGAACCTAGCATTAGGATTAGAGGAAGACTCATTAACAACCTGCGATATACAGATTATACAACCTTGCTTGCTAAAAGTGAAGAGGACCCCAGTCTTCAGTATAGATTACACCTCAGCATAAAACAAAAACACAACTGAGCCAATAAGCAACATCATGATAAATGAAGAAAAGATTGAAATTATCAAGGATTTAATTTTATTTGGACCCACAATCAATGCCCAGGAAGTACCAACTAAGAAATCAGACAACATATTTCATTTGGGCAAATCTACTGCATAAAATTAAAAAGCAAATATATCACTTGGAAGACTAGATATTTTGTCTCCTTATATGCATGCATAAGCTAGATAATAAACAAGGAAGACTAAAGAATTCATGCATCTGAATTATGTTATTGGTTTTGTTGTAGTTGATAAGTGCCTATGGGTCAGTTCTGACTCACAGTGACCCTGTATAGGGTTTCCAAGGAGCAGCTGGTGAATTTGAAATGCCAGCCTTGCAGTGCATTATCCCACAGTGCCACACCAGAACTCCATGTTATTGGTAAAGAGTATTAACTATATCATGGACTGTCAGAGGCTTGAACAAATCTGTCTTATGCTTCTTAGAAAAAAAGATGGTGAACCTTCATTTTATGACTTTGGACAGGTTATCTGGAGGGACTAGTTTCTGGAGATGGACTTCATGCCTGGTAGAGAGTCAGTGAAAAAGAAGAAGACCCTCTTTTTGGATTGACACAGTGGCTGCAACAATGGACTCACACTTATGGACCAAGCTCTATTTCAAGGTGCTGAAGATTCATCTGAGAACAAAATAAAGAAGCATCCTTTCCTTCGTGGGGCTTGCCTTGTAATGAGAAACAAACAATAAATAAAATAAAAGGGAAATATGTACTATGTTCAATTATGGTTAAGTGTTAAGTAGAAAAAACAATAAAGCAGGAAAAAGAGCACATGAAGTGTACAGTGAATGGGTAAGATTTGAGATAGGGAAGACATTTTAGGTAGGGTTGTTGCTGGTAGCTGTCACTGAGTGGACCCTGAATCCTGGCAGCCCTGGACCATTGTGATCCACAGTTTTTACTAGGTGAATTTCAGAAACAGATCACCAGGCCTTTCTTTAGTCCATCATAGTCTGAAAGCTATGCTGAAACCTGCTCAATATCATAGCCACACACAAGTCTGTACTGACAGATGGGTGGTGGCTGTACATGAAGTGCATTGACCAGGAATCCAACCTGGGTCCCCAGCATGGAAGGCAAGAATTCTTAGCCCATGAAGGTGGGAAAGGGAGTGGGGGGAGGAGGTGGATTGAGCCTGGAAGTATCCGGGAGAAATGCATTCCAGAAGGTCAGTATGACTGTGACAAAGATGAAGGGAGTAGAATATGAATAACATAATAGATGGTCAGGGCCGTTAAGGAAGAGTCCAATCGTGGACCACCATTCTGGTGTGGCACTGTCGAATCAGCACTTGACTGCTAACCACAAACCCACCAGCTACTCCTTGGAAACTCTGTACAGGGTCACAATACATCAGAATCGACTCAACAGCACTTAACAACACATGTTGGTCAAAGAAGGAACTTTGGCTTTGATGAAGTGTGTGATGGAAGTCACTGGTGGTTCTGCACATAGGAGTGCTATGATCTCCATTACAAGAGGACCCTTGGACTACTGTGTCCCTGAAGAAGGGGAAGACAAGACCAGTAAAGAGGCTACTGTAATAATCCAAGCAACAGACGGTGGCTCCAGAAAGGGAGATGAAGTACAGGTCTGGAGCTGGAAGATAAAAGTTTTGGATTTGGACAGTTACATTGTTGTTGTTGTAAACTGCCGTCGAGTTGGTTCTGATTCATATCGACTCTGTATAGGGTTTCCAAGGAGCAGTTGTTTAGTTTGAACCACCAATCTTATGGTTCAGACTAACCTTGCGATCCATTGCTTTATCTCCCAGCGCCACACCAAGATATAGAAGTCTGGGCATATTAACAGTAATAAAATGATGGAGGTGGAGCCCCCAGCTCTACCACTTACTAGTAGCAAACTCTTGATTAATCAATTCCTGGTTCTGGGCTTCAATTTCCCCACCAATAAAACTGGGGAACTATTTCCACATAATAGAGCATTCGTGAAAAAGTAATGCAAGTGTCAAAGCTGGCCCATAAGGTGAGGACCAAGAGCCAAGGGTCGCACATGCTCGTCCCGCAGAGCAATGCTGTTGTGGGAACAGACAGTGGCAGACAAATAACGCTCTTTGGCCCCAACGACGCTAAAACAAGTGGTGCCACAGTCCTCGCCCAAACCTCGCGAGATTTGTTGGCCGGGCCGAGTTGCCCTAGAACCACATCTCGCGAGACCAAGACACGTGAACGGCTCTCGGCCGGTTAGGGTTTGCGGGAAAGATGGAATATCCCGCGTTGGGCACCTTGCAGGCCACGGACAGCGGAGGGGCCGGGCCGTACAACAGCTCGGAGGAGCGGGAGGGCCGGGACTCGGATGGGGTGCGCTTCGACCGCGAGAGGGCGCGCCGCCTGTGGGAAGCGGTGTCCGGGGCCCAACCTGTGGGGAGGGAGGAAGGTGAGTCCAGTGGCCTCAGAGGCAGGAAGCCGCTCACCCGTCTGTTTGTCCCGCGTAGTGTGGTCTGGGCGCGGGGTGGACCACTGATCAACCTCGCGGGTCCACAGTCACACCCCCTGGCGCCCGGCCCGCCCCCTCGCGTGACGTGCCGGGGGACTCCGGGGCTTGTTCTCACAAGTGCCGGGGCACCGTGGGTCACTTCCCCCCAAAATCAGGGCCGCGGCACCCCAAGAATAAGACTCTCGAGCATAAATTATCCTGAACCTTCTCACCCAGTTTCTCATTCTCAGGCCCAGGGTTTTGTCCCTGCTGTCTTCAGTCACCGGAGCTCAGCCCTAGACCATTCCCACTGACCTGCAGCCCAGCCGAGTACTCCTCACCATTTCTTCCTGACTCCCCACCACCCCAGCCCCCAGGCCCTCCCACCCTTAGTGTCATTCGTCTCTTCTCAAGCCCTACCCCTCTTCTGAGAACTCTAGAAGGTCTATATTTGGCTTGGTGACAACCCTGGCTCACCCGTTTCTGGGTGTCCAGCGTCTACTACCTGCCCCTCTTTTTGAGATGGGAAGATGGGACCAAGAGTCTAAGAAAGTGGCCTATAATAACTTTACCTCCAGCTGCTTTGTATTTGATGTTTAGCCCAAAGTTGCGAACAGTTGTGAACAGCAGTATACACAAGGCCACTTTGGAGGTTTGACCGGGCACGCGTGTAAGATGGGAGATAGAAAGCAGAATTAGAGCTAGCCTGGTTATATGACGCTCGCAGCCAGCCCGTTGCAGCATCTTCTATGTAGTTCTAGCTGAAATGTGCTCAAACCTTCTGGGCTTTCATGCCAGTCCTGTCAGGTATTTGCAGGGAAATCAGGTTTCTCAGATGGTTTGCTTGCTGAGCAGACTAATCTAAGACATGTTAATGAATTGTCTGTGAACAGATTGAGCTGAAGTAAAAATACAATCCTGATGATCTCCAAGGCAAGTATATTTAAATTTGAGGTGGTACACAGGTAGAGTATTCTTTATCAGTTAAAGAGCAAGTTTAATCTAACTCCTAAATTAACATGTGTTACTCTCTGTGTTCCTTGACCCTGTTTCAAACGTGTTTGGTAAACATCCCCCACTCCCATTTTCTTTTAATTTGACAAACCTTCACTCATGCCTGTTCTATTGCCCTTGCTCTGGGAAGCTTGCAGTCCAGTCCACAAAGCAGACAAAACAATTTTAACACCGTGTAATGGGTACAATGAAGAGGAATGTCTAAAGAATTGGGAGTGCACAAACCTTCGATCTAGGGGGAAAGGGAAGGTATGCCCAAGACCTTGAAGTAACCACTCTAAAAAATGTCTGTGTATGTGTGCATGAATGCACGGTGTTACTTATAACCTAGATCATTTTATGCTTAATTCTCCCTAATTTACATGAGGTCCAGGTAGATACCTTTAACACCGATTTCTACTCACTTCTGTTGTCTTTTAACACTTGTATTGAGTTGTAATGGACACATAACAAAATTCATCATTGTGATTATACAATTCAGTGATTTTAGTATACTGAATGGTTACATCAGGTTGTGTAATCATTACCTCAGTCAACTTTTAGAACAGTAAATCCCCCTTCCCAGCCCCTGCCTTAGGCAATCACTGATCTGTTTTCTTTATAAATAATTTGCCATTTTTGGATATTTCATATAAATGGAATCATGCAATATGTAGTCTTGAATTTGACAGCTTTCATTAGCATGATTTTGGGGTTCATCCAAGTTGTAGCATGTATTATTTATTCATTTTTATTGCTGAATAGAATTCTGTTGTATGGCTGGAACACATTTTGTTGATCCATTCACTATCTGATGGACATTTGGATTATTTCTTCACAACCATTTACAGCATCAGAATCTAATTGTGAGTAATGCTGCCGTGGACATTCATGTACAGGTTTTTGTGGGGGCATATCTTTGTATTTACCTTGGGTGTATACCTAAGCATGAAATTACTAAGTCATATGGAGTCCTGATGTGATGCTGCAGGATGATGTGCTTGACTGCAAGATGAGTTTGAGCCACAAGGGCAGCAGTTCAAACCTCCCACTCTTCGGAAACCCTATACAGGGTCATTATGAGTCGGAATCCACTCAGTGGCACTTAACAACAACAACATGGTCACTCTATGTTTAATATTTTGAGGATTTGCCAAACTGGTCTAAAGTGAAAATGGTCCTGAGGACCTTGGAACTTGCTGCTAGTGTCTGAAGTTAGGACAGTCTTAGAATAACTGTTCCCTCAGACCTTGCAATTTGGCAATCTCTATTTCATTTCTCTAAACTCATTGTAGTCATAATGATAGAAGAGTCAATACATCTGGAAGGTAAAAAATTGTTAATATTAAAATAATTAAAAATTGTTAATGACATCAACAATTTATGTGGGTTCTAATTTTTTTACATCCTTGCCAGTGCTCATTATCTTTATCTTTTTTTAATTACAGCCATTCTAGTGAGTGTATAGTGATGTCTCATATGGCTTTCGTGTGTATCTTTGTAAAGACAACCAATATTGAGCCTCCCTTTCATATCCTTATTTTCCATTTGTATTATTTTTTTTTTGGTGAAAAATATTAAAATCTATTACCCAAATTGTAATTGAGTTTTTTGACCTCTATTTTTGAGTTGTAAAAGTTCTTTGTATATCTGGATACAATTCCTTTATCTGATATGTGATTTGCAGACAATTTCTTTCAGACTGTAGCTTCTCTTTTCATTATCTAAATGGTGCCTTTTGAAGTGCTGAGTATTAAATTTTTAGGAAATTCATTTTAACAGTATTTTTTCTCTTGAGTTATGCTTTTGGTATCATGTTAAGTAAGAACCCAAGGTCAAAACGATTTTCTGTTATGTTTTATTCTGGAAGTTTTATAGTTTTGGCTCTTACATTTAGGTTCTAGACGATTTAGTTAATTTTTGTCTAAGGTATGAGATAAGGGTATAATTTTTTTTCCATTGGTTTACCCAGCTGTCCTAGCACCATTTGTTGAAAAACTGTCTTTTTGCTATTGAATTGTCTTGACATCTTTGTTGAAAATCAATTGACCGTAAATGTAAGGATATATTTCTGAACTTTCTATTCTTGATTGATCTATAGTCCCATTGATCTATAGTCCTAATCTTGAGATACTAGCAGAGTCTTGGTTTCTATGGCTTTATAGTAAGGTTCAGAATTGTTTGATGCTTCAGTCGTCGAATTTTCATCTTCAACCATTGAAGCACCAAACAGTTCTAAACCTTACTATATAGGAGACTTCTGGTTTAATTTCCGCCAAAGTACCTCATGCACAATCATCAGCCATCTGTCAATGCAGACTTTTGTGTTGGTTTGTTGCTGAACAACTTTCAGCTGAGCCTCTAGACTATGATTGACTAGAAAGCTAGGCCTAGTGATCTATTCCTGAAAATGAGCTAATGTAAACTTTCTAGATCACAATGCTCCAATCCCCATCTGTAATGAAGATGACGCAGAACCTAGCAGGGTTTCAAAGGGTTTTGTTTTGTTGTGTGGGATTGCCATAATGACAGCTAACAAAAACAACAGTATCTTGTTAGGTCCTTTGCATTTCCAAATAAATTTTAGCATCAGTTTATCAGTTTCTGTTAGAGAGAGAAAAAAAAAGAAGCATTTTGATAAAGAGTGCATTGAATTCATAGGTCAGCCTTGAGATAATTGCTATCCTGATTCCATTGTTTCATGAATATGGAATGCCTGTCCATTTATTGAGCTCTTTAATTTTTTTAGCAATGCTTTGTAGATTTCAATATGTATATATTACACTTACTTTATTAAGTTTATTCCCAAGTTTTTTTTTTTTGATGCTATTGTGAATGTATTTATTTATTTTATTTCTTTATCAAATTTTCCCTTACTTATACATAAACATATAAGGAACCCTGATACGGTAGTGGATTACGAGTTGGGCTGCTAACCCCAAGGTCAGCGGTTCTAATCTACCAATTGCTTCATGATAGAAAGATAAGGCTTTCTGCTCCAGTAAAAATTCACAGCCTCAGAAACCCACTATGAGTCAGAATGGACTTGGTGGCACATAACCACCACCTGGTAGTATAGTGGATTGCAAGTTGGATTGCTTACCTCAAGTTCAGCAGTTTGAATCTGCCAGCTACTCTTCATGAGAAAGATGAGTCTTACTGTTTTCATTGTTCCCTCATCTTCTATTTCCTAAAAGGATTTGTGAAAGATCAGTATAATTTCTTCTTAGAATAGCTGATGGAAGTAAAGCTACTTGGGCCTGGATTTTTATTTGTGGAAGATGTTTAATTTTTAATTTAGTTTTGTTTTCTTGTTATAGGTATATTCAGATTTTTTCTGTTTTATAAATTTGTTTAATTTGTCTTTCTAAAATTTCACCCATTTTCTCTAGTTTTCTGATTTCTTAACATAAAAATTTTCACAATATTCTCTTATAATCTTTTAAATTTCTGTAGGATTGGTTGTTTTTCATTCCTGATTTTGGTTTTGTTTTTTTTCCCCTGTTCATTTCCTTGTTCAATATAGATAAGGGTTTATCAGTGTTATCCAGCCTTTCTAGTTTCAGCAGTTCAGTACTATCGCGGTCTTGTGGGAGAAAGATGAGACTTTCTGTTCCCGTACAGCCTCGGAAACCCTGTACAGGGTCACTATGGGTCGGAACCGACTCAAAGGCACTTTGTAATATATTGAATGCTTAAAGCTATAAATTTCACTCCTTTAGCTACATACCATCATTTTTTTTTAATGTTGTGTATGTTGTTGTTGTTAAGTGCCATTGAGTCGGGTTCTGACCCATAGTGTCCCATAGGGTTTCCAAGGAGCAGCTGGTGAGCTTGAACCACTGGCCTTGCAGTTCATGTGGACTTTGCAGTTCAGTGCATTAACCAACAATTCCACACCAGGACTCCAAATGTTGTGTTTATATTCGGTTATATATACAATTCAAAATAATTTCCAGTTTGCCTTA